ACTAGAGAGGTAGAATGCATAAGCTGAGGATCGATCGGGTCCCCTTCTGCATGCTGCCAATCTTGTTATGGTTCCTGCTACCATAACCCTCGGTTTGATCGGAGCTTAGATTGGGAATGAACTCTATATGCCTAAGTCAACCAAAAAAACAAGCGTGCAGACACTAAGCTGACCAGAGAGGCAGAATACGCAAGCTAAGGATCGGTCGGGTCCCCTTCTATGTGTTGCAGATCCTGCAGGCTTTCTATATGGTTCTGGTTTAGCCCCACTCCCTGGGACCACCTGGATGTGGTGTGAGCATGTTGTGGGCCTGGTCGTCGTGCTGCGGACAGGCTGAACTTTCGGGTGGGCAGTCTGGACAACAATAGCAATGACTATTGCTGAAACCCCCGCCTCTGCGTACGGTGCTTGAGCCTTGGCCGCTGGGGCATAGGCCTCAATTCCAAGTGCGCACGCCTAAAGCATGACACTTGCACTTGGTGTGGGCTGTTGCCTTGGACACCTCTAGTCTGACCGCATGCCCATACCTCGATCATCAGTGCTCACACGTCGGTCTGACTGTGTGCCCATGCACCGCTCACCAACACCTGCACATGGGCCTCGCTCAATTCTACCAAACCTAACACTGTGTCTGAGCCCTTAGAATCCTGATCACTACCCACACCACTGTCTTGATCCAGTTCCCCATGATCTGTACCTTGAGTATGCCTCAAGGCCTGGTCCCTCCTGGCAGTTGGACCCTATCCCACTACAACCCTGGGGCCAGTCCCAGCTTGTTTACTGACCGTGACTCATGTACATGCCTCGACCACCATCTAGACTTGTTGGCCCTTGGTCTCGACACATGCTTCGACCACCATTGGTGCATGTTGGACCTTGGTGCGGGCAGTTCCCTTGAACAGCATTGCCCGTGCTAGGTCACGCACGAAGCAGTCGCACCTTGGCCCGGGCCGTGCACCTTGTGCACCACGATCGGGCAGTAGGTGGGTTTAAGGATATCTTCATGTTTCTATAGTGCCAAAGCCATTTTTGTGGTCCATGAATTCATATGAGCGCTCCCCAATGCCCACGCACCACGCGCGGGTGTCCTGAGCCCGAGCCGAGCACCAATGATCGCCACGATCGGGTGGTAGGTGGGTTCAGGCATATATTCATATTTCTGCCATGCCAATGCCATTTTTATGGCCTGTGAATTCATATGAGCACTTTCCAACACCCGCACACCACGCGCGAGTGTCCTGAGCCCGAGCCGAGCACCATGTGTGCCACGATCGGGTGATAGGTGGGTTTAGGCACATCTTCATATTTTTGCCTTGCCAATGCCATTTTTATGGCTTGTAAATTCTTACAATGGTCCCTTAAGCCTTCATGTGAAGTTTCATGGCAAGACGACTCGTTTTCTATTTTTCACGATTTTTAAAATTTTTTACGGTTTGGGATTTTTTAAAAATTTTTTAGAAGGTTTTTTGGCCCCAATTTTGGTAGATCTGATCCTTGTATATTTTTTGCCATGCATAAAAAAATTCAGCCAAAAACTCGAAGTGTAGAAGATTTTGTACCCATTTGAAAAAAGTATCCCCATTTCAGACACTTGAATGGTTACTGGCAGCAAACCTGTAAAATCCCATATGCTCTTTAAGCGGGTATGAGTTGTTGAGGTTTGTTGAGGGATAGGGGGCCAATATAAGGGCCAAGTATAAGCACCCATCGTACATCATGTGCGCACACCCCCCGGACCCTCAATCGCTGGAACCCCCAATGCTGTCGGTCAGGTTCTCCGACGATGCTCCGACGATGCTTCGACGATGTTGCCCCGGGTAAAAAAATTTTGGCACCAGCACATGCTCGAGCCCAGCATGTGCACAATGGCTCAAATCAAACTTTGGCCAAGGCCTCGACCATCAACGGCACATGATGGCTCATGGTGATGGCACATACATCGACCATCATTAGCACAGGTTGCCCTTTGGTACGGGCACTTGCCTCGACCACCATCGGCATAAGCTAGCCCTTGGAATAGGCACTTGCCTCGACCACCATCGACACATGCATGCCTCCATGACCATCGGTAGAAGATGGCCCTTGGTGCGGACGGTTGCCTTGAGCACCATCGGCATGTGTTGGGCCTTGGTGCGGGCACATGCCTCGACCACCATCATCACAAGCTAGCCATTAGTACGGGCACTTGCATGGACCACCATCAGCATGTGCCATGCCCGATCAGCTTTGACAAAAGATGGTCTCTGGTGCATGCAGTTGCCTCGAACACCATCGACACATATTGGGCCTTGGTACGGGCGGTTGCCTCGAGCACCATTGGCATAAGCCAACCCTTGGTGCGGGCACTTGCCTTGACCACCATCGGCAGAAGATGGGGCCAAGTATAGGCGGTTGCATCGAACACCATCGGCACATGCTGGGCCTTGGTGCGGGTGTCACGGGCTCTGACCTTAGACTCAGAATCCTTGCGGCCTTAGGCTTGGAATCTCCTCCTTTATGCCTAAGTCAGCCTAAAACACAAGCGTATAGGCACTAGAACAATGGGAAGGGCTGATTACGCAAGTTAAAGAAAAATAGGATAACAAGGCAGAATGTTGGAATATGCTGTATATTCACTAAAATAGAAGTGTTTGATGGTGCACAAATGAGGGTGGAGCAGCCCTCTATTTATAGTTGAGGCTCCAGCTACACTTAATGGCAATATCCCTAGAATAAAGGCTAAAATCATGGGATTACACAGATTACAATCAATCAGGATTCTAACTCCTGATTTCTAGGGTCAACCAAATCTGCCAAGAGGCTCCTGCTGATCCTACAAACTTTCAGAAGCTTTACTTGTGTATCTAGCACCTTGGGCCCTTCTGAATGTGGTGTGGGCAGCCTAAATGCCAGGCCTTGACCTCACGGGCTGGCCTACAAGCTAGGTGGGCATTCTGGCCTCGTCTCCTAGGCCTTGCGTGCAAATACCCGCCAGTATGCCTAGTCTGAAGGCCTCAACCTCTGGCTTATGTACTGGTGCACCTGATGTGCCTGGCGTGCCTGGCGTGCCCGTCCAGGGCATGACATTCTCCCCCACCTGATTGCACAATGCCCTCATTATGTCTTCTGCATGGTACTGCCTGATCTGGTCCCTAAACTGCCATAAGTCATCTATTGGTTCCTAGCTCACCTCACTGTCTGGAAGTCCCAGCGCACCAAGTACTCTTGTCTTGGTTGATAGTTCTTCTGTCTCACCTCTCGATCAGCTATGATGCTATTGACCTCCTTCTCATATAAGGCCCTTGCTTCCAATGGCGAACGCTTTGACTCTATCTGACATGGATCTCCCTCATCCTCATGGAACGGCTTGAGCATGCTCACATGGAACACCGAGTGTACCCTCAGCTTGGGTGGCATATCCAGCTTGTAGGCAACCTTGCCTAACCTCTTAAGTACTCAGAAAGGACTCTCATACCTTCGCACAATGGGATGCAGCTTCACCAACACCAAGTCCTCGACCTGGAACAACACGTCTCGTCTGTTCTGGTCTGCCCACTTTTTTTACCTCTTGGCCGCCTTGTATAGACAGACTCTGGCCAAGTCAATTTGCTCCTGCCATGCCTTGGCAATCTTATATGTTGCTGGATTCGACCCTGTATAACCTGTAGCAATCGAACCATGTGTTAGTGGTTGTTGCCCTGTCAAAACCTCAAATGGGCTCTGGTTCATTGCCTCGTTCCTTTGCAAGTTGTAGGAAAACTGTGCAACATCTAGCAACTTTGGCCAGTCCCTTTATGTGGCACTCACATAGTGCCTAAGGTAGCCATCCAATAGTCCATTCACACGTTCTATCTGCCCATCGATCTGTGGATACATGCTGGTGGAAAAGTTTAAGTCTGACCCCAACAGCTTGAACAACTCAGTCCATAACCTGCCTGTGAAATGCCCGTCCCGATCACTAATAATGATCCTTGGCACTCCCTAGTACTTAACCATGTTCTTCAAGAACAATCAAGTTGCCTCTTCGGCTGGGCACTCCTTGGTTGCTGGAATGAAGATTCCATACTTGGAAAACCTGTCCACCACTTCCATGATGCTTCCAAACCCCTCTGCTTTGGGTAGACGGACTATAAAGTCCAGAGAAACACTCTTCCATGGTCGCTTTGGCACTGCCAATGACTCCAAGAGACCGCCTAGTTTCTTGAGCTCCACCTTGTCCTATTGGCACACAAGACAAGTCTTCACATAGGCCTCCACATCGTCCCTCATGTGAAGCTAGTAGAATTGGTCCTCGATCAACGCCAAGGTGCGGCTCACTCCTAGGTGTCCAACCCACCTTGAATCATGGCACTCTTGCAAAACTTCCTTGCAAAGC